CTTAAATGGCCACTGCGACTTGGTATCCTTTCCTGGTAAGACGAGAATAGACTGCATACATTCGTGGTGACTCGACAAAAATAAATGAAGCTTGTTTGAATTAATGCTGCATCGGCCATACAGCACTGATCTCGCGCCAGCCGGATACCGCATAATCCGATCGTTGCAGAACTCCCTCGATGAGGAAAAAATTTCGCAAAAGACGGGAATATCAAATGTTATGTAGTTCAACTCTAGCCGAAAAAACAGAAGTTCTATGCAGAGGAACTGACGGGACTTTTGGTTTTTCGGCAACAACTGGAATACATAAGTTTCGATTTCACCTGTACTACTTGTCATCCCCTTTGCAATCGATTACTTCGAGCGGTCGCCAGTTACTTCCCATTCCATCCCGTCGCAAGCCTGAAAGGTCCAGTGGATCGTTCTTGCTCAAGGGACACGAGGCAACATTTTTTCCATAAGAGATTTCTGAAGAAGTCTGGCCATGTCGTTGGCGGCCGTCCTGGTATTCGCTTGACGTCCCGAGGTATAAAATTAGTAACTGATCTGGTCCAATGATCAACAATGATCATCATGATATCGCATAGCGTGTCGGGCTAGCTTGGTTTTCGATTCCTCGGCGTAAGCAGTGGTACTCTGATCCGCATTGCAAATCGCATAACGTTTCCGGCCCACCTGATCTTCGATTTCTTGGCGTAGTCAACAGCATCCCTGTGCTTGGTTCGTAGCTCGGAACTCCTGATTCTCTTATGCACTTGCGTGAACAATGGAATTCCGAGCATCGATATTTCCAAAGCGCTTTGAGTGATGCTTACAGCACGTTCATCTGCTTTCGTTAAGTCCAGATCTCCGGGTGTACGTCAAAACAGTAACGATGGTGGTGTCGAAAAAAAATAGCGCAAAGTAGGATGTTCTTTGACTTTTCCACAAGCCCCTCAGCAGTCCTGAATTTTTCGCACGCCCCGCATTCCTTTCTGCTACCTACGGCGCTAGGTCGTTGATCATGTTGACTTCTCGACCTCGACACACGTACCCAAAGCATCCAGTCCCGCTGGATGCTTTGGGTACATAAGCATATTCGTTCCGCTCAGCATAAAAGGAGCATCAGGACCAGCCCATTCCTCACAGAGTTCGTATTCGTTAGGTTGAAACTTAGTCGTAAGCCGATCTTCCCACAAGCGTTTTTGAATTCGGCCACCATTCATTACGTCTGCTCGATGTTTTGTGTTATGAGCACGATGTTGTTTGCAAAGCTATTCAAAATGACGTATGATATTCTCAAGAGTGACACTGAAAAGTATGGGCGGAAACGCTCTGCTGAATCCACCACGTTGGCGATGGTTCCCTTACGAATTGCGAAATAGAGGTCGTGAAGTTGTCGTAGAGCTCACGATGCATCCTTATGTATTGAGTAGGAACACCCTGGCTGCCCAATGCTTCGATTACCTCTTCTGTCTCGACAGTGTCGAAGGATTTTTTCAAATAGATGAAGGTCAGGCATAACGGCATCCAGTATTCTCGCGATACCTCAGCGAGTATTGTAACAGTGAGAAGGCGATCGATTGTGCTCAACGTTCTCGAAGCCCTGCTTGCTCGCATAGCTATCCTTCACCTAATATTCTGACAGTCCTGTTAGGGATTCAGAGTGTGCAAAATTTGCAGATTACAATAACAAGCAGAGTGGACGATAGTTATCTATATCGTCGAGTCGCAGCAACCTTCTTATACAGCAGAACAGACTTGCTAATTTTCAACGACGTAGGTGCACTGCATTCCGACAGGTAAGGCGTGAAGAGCCTAGACAGAGTTCCGACGACAACTAATGGATGATCCTTCAGATAACCCAGTTTGATCCTATCGGGACCGAGTGCTGTACATTCGGAAGGGAGAACCGATGGAGCGATATATACGTCTTGCCTGAGATGGTGAGTAGGCAGGTGGACGTGGTTGTCGAAGAGATCCGAGTGGAAGTCATAAAAGACTTCTCGACCCTTCGAAATGCGGTAACTATTTCGTCAGAACGACGAAGGGAAGTCATCTTGGCCTCGAAATTGGCGAAGCTCCGGCAAGCTTTGCGAATGCACTTTCCGTTTGCTCCAGCTTCATTCATAACCGCTGCTCTTCTCTTTTTCGGATCTTTCTTCTTCGCTTCTCTGCTTAGTTATGATTATGATTACGATTATGATTTAGTATCAGAAATAAAAGAAAATAACAGAACGGCAAAAAAGAAACACAAGCAAGTTCTGTGAGTTTGGACATCTGTTAATGATTGCTTGTAGCTTGCGTGGTTCCACGCTGGTGTATAAGCTCAAGAGTCTCTGAGGAGAGCTGTTTCTTGGTTGCTTGTATACTCGCTCCTTTCCTAACACTATTGTGAAGATGTCCGACGAGCCGGTAATATTTTCATCGACGTTGTCGATACAGAACCTTCCCCAGAGACTCGCAAGAGGAGCGAAGTGGTTCATGTTTATAAAGGTCACGGAGCTTAATTTCTTGAATTCCATAGCTCTCTGCATGCACTAAGAAACCGTATATAGCGCGGAGGAGACGATAGTCCGATCCGGTGTAGAATTCTGGAGCAGCGGCGACGTCAGTCAGGCAAAACTTCCGATTGAAGACGATGTGGCTGATTACATGACGGGTCGGTCCAGCAGGTGACCCGAAGTTCGTCGCAAAAGGGGGAGCTTCTCGAGCTGCGAATTACCATAGATAGTGCAGTCGACATGAAAAGTCTGGACAGTCTTCCACTCTGCTTAGAGCGGTCCGTTCCGCGGATCCCCGTATGTAGCTCAGCCGTTTCTGGGGTCAATTTTGGCGCTGGTATCACTGACGATGACCTTGAAAAAAGTGTGGTTCCCTATGAGAATTGGCGTGTGAATCGCGCCACTCCTACCCCGGACTGGAAGAGGGCTTTGATTTTGAAAGCGGCTCCGAAGAGCCTACCTTATCATACACTCGAATGCAATCTTTTGGCTAAGAGATTGGCAGGGTAGCAACTGCATCCGCAGCATTTCCACACCGTATGCATGGATATAATGTCGAGGTACAGAAAGGACAGGAAGTCCATCCTCTGCACCCACCTGCATCTCTGAGCAAGTATCGACGAATTTTGTCGGGGTTTTACTTCCCTATCCGCCACCTGCCCTACATCGCCTCGTCGGCTAGAGATGCTTTAGTGAGGAGGACCCTCAGTGAAGAATTTAGAAAGACATGTGATGCATCCAGGTTTTCGCCGAAAAAAACCGGAATATATATATATGGGGGGAGCTACGAACTGACCAGAAGGATGGCAATAGGTAATCGAACAAAATGGGATATATGTACATAATTGACTAGGTTTGTTAACTGAGAATTTCTTTCTTAAACGCTCGAAAAATGCAATTAGTTTCACGTTAACCCAGTTGTTATAAGAAAGCGTCTTAAATACTCACTCTGCAATATATACTGCTCAGATGCAAACAGGCGTAGGCAATTCCGTACTCGTCATCGTCAGATTCGTGCTAAGTTTCGAAACTATCATTGGATGGGAGAAATAGGGAAGCAAACTCTCAGGATAAAAAGTGGAAGGAGGGCACCTAAGGTAGAGAGTACCTCAAGTGCGCAATTCAAAAGTCGAACAACAAGTTCAAATTGCGCTGGCTGCAGCATAGCTCGAGTAACAGGTACAGCTGCACCTGCTAATTGACGACATAGAGCTACTCGAGCTGTTACTAGACGAAGTGATAGTTCCACGGCACACATCATCTGAAATAGAAACTTCAGTTCTTTTATATACAGTCAATGAAGTAGTTCGGAATCTTCACCTTCGAGATATTGAAGAAAAAAGACCTTACTATATATAGCGTGCTTATGTCTATGTGTCTGTCTGCCTCGGAAATCGATATCACTGGAGAAAACACCTGGAGTAGTCGGGTCAGTTTGGGATGGATTGGGTATAGAACAAGACCAACAGGACACATGTTAGCTCAGCAGAGGGGTAGGACTTGCATAGGAGTGGGCAGTGTTATAGGCAAAGGTTCTTGATTTGTTTCATACCAGCCAGACGTCGAGGAAAAATGAGCAAAGGTACGAAGGAAACTAACCTACGGCGGGCGAAGCATTATTACAGTGGGCGGTGCATTCTAAATTACTTTATGGCACGAATCAAAGAATGCTTGGAGAACAGAAATAAAATGGAAAGAGTGGGCAAAGTCCAATTTGTGCTGAGCATTCAAGAGCATAGCAAAGCACCGCCTGCGATGGGTTTGATATGTAAGCTATTTTTGAAAGCATCAATAACTTTTTTTCAAGAACGTTTCAGATTGAGAAAAGCAGCGGTCAGAGATTATCGAAAGAATGTGCTTCAATTCCGAAGCGGGCGACGACAAAAGCCCATGACTCTTCAAAAACGCTCTGGAGTGCAAAAAAAGGTAATTGAAGGCCGTCGAAGGAATGAAGTGGTCAAACTCACGTGTTGGGTGGGTCTTGCATTAAGGTGGGCGGTGCTAAGAATGTAAACTCATGACTCTGTTCAATAACGTTCAAGAATGTGGAGAAAATAGTGGGGCAGCTTGAATAAGGGTGCTCATCTTCAGGAGGGTGGGCCTTACACTGAGGTGGGCGGAGCTATGACCAAATAAAAATAACTCTGCTCAAATACGTTCTACAACCTGAAAAAAGTGCATAGAGCCCATGGAGAAACGATGCTCGAATCCCCAGAATGGACGGGGCTCGCACCGAGTCGGATGAAGCTAAGATCAAAAATTTATAACTCTGTCCAAAGACGTTTGTAAAGTTTTTACTATGTAAAAATTGTTATTTTCTATCCCTCTGCCCAACTGTCCCTTCATTCGGTACCACCTGAAGTTGGCATCTGAGGAAATTGGGTCATTCCTGAGATGGGTGGAACTTCGGGCAAGATCAACACAGCACATGAGCCTAGAGGAACCTCGCTCCAGTGAGCGGAACATTCACTGGAATGGGTAGGTGGAATGAGAAATAACTCGAGAACTTTGTTCAAGGAAAGCTCAGACACTGGGAAGAATTGAAAGTTTACGGATGGATCAAGGATTCAATCAGATGAAGGAGCGGTGGGCGGAGCGTTCTCGAACTTCTTGTATGAACTCACAACTCTCCACAGCTTATAGATGGATTTATGAGGGTGGAGCCCAGAACATAAAATTCATCCCTACTTGATGCGGTCTTTATTGGAGGCACAAGTTGATGTGCGGAGCCCATCTCATAGAATGATAAGGAATCTTGGTCAGTAAAATTTCATAGAAATCGAGTTCATAGAATTCACCTTTCTTGCTTCCGACACGCGATTTTCGAAAATGGCATCAACACAGGCATCGAGAACCTGAAAATGATATTTGATTTCTTCGACCTACATGTACCGCAAAAACCTTGGAGGTGTGCGAAACACGCGTGACCCCATCAGCTCTTGGTGCACTTAGCACGCGACGCACCACGCGGCAGGTTACGAACATGTTTCGATGCGATCACTTCAGCACCCTTCAGTTCAAATGGACCACAAAAATTTGCACTAGTCCATGGATTTACCATGAAGTAGTGCAAACTTCTTTACTATGGCAATGCAGCCCCATGGAGATTAAACGTTGACGACAATGTCGCTCAACGGTGAGCGACAGTACATTATTTCAATCAAGACGCGTGTGCCCCATCCCTTTTGTGCTGATTTTGAATTTAGCCTTATAAGTGTCTAAAATAGAACCGGTCTGCTATCAAATTATTCCCGAGGCTGATATTTCGCTTTTATTAACAACTAACGATCATGAATTGTTTGGAGACAATCTGAACAATGAAATTCATTGCTTTTTGTCTTAGTCCATTTGGCTAGACTGCTCGCGCTCGACCTGCCTGAAGTTGCAGAGATCGATTGGAAGCAGTTGAAGAAAACCTTCTGTCTTTAGCATTTGGATTTGAATCAGTCATCTGCTTCCACTTGTGTAATCTCGAACTGCTTGTCGAGATGAAAGAACAGTCGGATATACCATTTGGCGTTCACCCATATGTTCTATGCTTCTTCGTTATAGTCACCATTTGAGATTTCAGAGTCGGAATCATTGGTGTAGGGAAAAATGCAAGGGCCGTATCGTCGCAATTCAAACCATCAGGAACTTCACCATCGTTGTTGAGCAGCGATCGTGCAGCTCCTGGTGGTCGTCAAAAGTTTCGATGAACTCTTCGATTCCGATATCTGGGTCTTTCACTCGTTCCTATTTCTCCCATAATGATATTAAGCATGATGTTGTAGCGCGTCTCGTCCACGGCACCGCGCCGCCGTAAGCCCCGCCCCTCCCGCGACATGACCTCATGCTACTGACGCGTGAATCGCACCACACCCAAAAAACCCTAATGTCACACGGACAATTTATTTAATCACAAAGCAATTGAGAAAATGGAACCAGAATAATATAGGCGCACCAAAAGTCGCCGGCTATTCGCACCAATATATTCTTCGTACAGATTTAGTTTTTCCGGAACCGGTACTACCTGAATACCATATATTAGACAGTGTACACAATAAAAGTCACGGAATGAACTTAACTTGGGCCGAAGGTCTTCAGGATCATCAAGTTTCCAGTGAAGGCGATTCTGATCAATCAGAGCGTTGATCTGATCAAATACGAAGATATACTCAGTTAGTTCCCGAGCTTCACGAGACAAACTTTCATTGATATTGTTATGAAGAATAAACAAAATCCGCTCAAACTTTTCATTTTGCCCTCTGTGTTTCTGTTTTGCCATAAATACTAAAGTTAGAGATCATCCTGTGAAAGTTATTACAATACATAAAATTTATTTCCACAGCAACAATTCTATATCTAGTTTCACTGCCAGCCCTCCGCAGGATCACCTCCTGATTGTGACGAGTCAGAATGCAGGCTGACCAAGAGCACTTTTCTTTTCATTGCTTCCTTTACACTTCGACATTTTTAAAAAGAAAACCTTAAAAAGAAACTGAAGACAGGAGGCGATGCAATGCGATACTACTTTTTAGATTCATAAAAGAGGGAAGGTATAAACAAAGCAGCGCAATGACATTCGATACGTAACGGCGTTTACACCTTTGATTATTAAGTCCCAATTTGTTGCACTCAAACGCACGGTTCACGACAAGAATAAATCTTGAGCGTTCTCCTCAGGAGAAACACGTGAGAAGGGTAGCACAAGGCATGCTGGCGTGTCGAAAAACGTCCCAGATAGAACGTAATCACGATCTTAAGACCGGCTTGGTCGACACACACACCCAAAATTCCCACTTCGTTAGAGAGGACGCATCCGTTCGCACTCAGACGCACATGTTGCACATGGCAGCCTAATGTCGCCAGCTGCACGCGAAGGCACACATTTGGAAAACTTATTCAAATACACTTCTTCTAACTCACGTCGTCACACTTTTGTCGACCCCTGATTTTACTTCTTTCGAGCCTTACAAATCTCTGAACACGCCGATTTTGGCGTTTTCTTCGCTACTTTTGCAATGTTCTGGACTGACACTTCGTCTAAAATCGTCTAAAACCGGATACCCATAAATTATCGTGAACTTCGCTTTTCATCTTATGTATGCTAATAATAACCATCCTCTAAAAATCTAAACCTGTACTTTGCTTGGGTCATTCAGTGTCTATAGGTGGGCAACCTAATTAGTCAGTCAAGACCTTGAATGACCCTTGCAAATGTTGTGACTGATGAAACAGCAGTAACAATGATGAAGTGGTCGTTATAAAAAAAAACCTTCACTTGTTGAGCGATATTCGCCAAACCATAAGGATTCTCATAAGTTGCAGTTGAATAACTTCCTTGCAATCCTGATATCACTACAAATAAACTGCAAGTCTGGTGTTTGTTTGCATGAATCTATGTTTGATATATGCAGGATTGTTTGTTTGCCATCCCTTTACATGGAGCTATCGTGAAAATGCACATGAAGGAATAGCCGAGCTGGGAAAAGTAGGGCAAGCCATTTGAACACGACATGATCCGACCCGAACTCCACCTACGGTGAGCGATGAATGCGCGAAATAAGTGATACACGACTAAAACAGATTGGCACTACGCTTCAAAAAAGTAAATAGAGGTTAAGGAAGAGTGACCAACCATGAATAGGAGGCATTGCGCACGTTGGGTGAATTTGTAGTATCAGCGTTAAAACGCAGATATGTGCGACAGAACGCAAACACGGGCGTCAGGACGCAGATAGAGGCGTTAGAGGGTAGGTTGTGTGACTTAACCCAGAGCTTTTGTAGAACGGGGAAGGGAGTGAGCGGGCTATAAAAAATGGAGAGAGCCATGTTCTTGTTCACGGCAGCGAAGAGGTCATGGTTGCGCTGAGATCCTAGTGCGTTCGGCTTTTGCTTGTTCTCAAGGAGATTAGCTGTAATTTTCGATGCATCTGCATAGTTCGCTTGTAGAAAGGTAATCGTACAATTATAGTTTCCCTCTAACGGAATACCGACATATACATTCTCCTGCTTCACATTACGGTGCATTCAAGAGATTGTTGAAGTATTGTAATTGCTTAACGAATGAAGGGTGAGGGTGTCTTCCCTCCAAACGGCGTTTAGCGCTCGCAGCACCCGTCGCACACCGCTGAAATTGGATGATTATTGGAGCGCGCAATGTTTCTGTCGGGCTTGCGATGGTTGGCCGGGTGGTATTGGTCTGTAATTATTTCCTAAAACATTATTCACCTTGCAAATACTCTACGAAACGCACACTTTCTACCCGAAAGCAAGAATGGATGAAAAATAGGCAATCAAAGCAAAAAAGAAAAGTAGGCAACAAAAATGGAGCCCTATAGTTTAGCGGAGAGGCGGGTCGAATACGGTACTTGCAGTTCGAAGCCGCGAGACTACTACTAAAAAAGACTTGCCGCATATGGTCCAGCGAACGTGGCAACTCGGGAGAAGTTCTGCCGCCCCCCGTTGGTCGGGCATATTTTTGCAAAACAAATTCCTTAAATCTCCAAACTTGTCCAGTGAGTGGAGAGTTGAGAATGACTGGAAGCTGCATTTTTGCGGCCAAAATCGAGAGGTAGTGGGCGCTCGAACGTCTTAATCCGATTTCGGTGCTACGGGTTGCGCCTCTCCCTAGTACGATGTACTTGTGGGTTTGTGCTCATGCTAATCGTTCATGACTCGATCAATGAGTCGAGAGAAGCTGTAAAAGCTTCGAGGAATCTTACAAGGATCCCAAGTCGAAGTAGCCATTGGAAATTAGACCTACACTGCTAGATATTTTTTGATGCTGATTTCGAATCTGCATCCAGAATCTGCCAAACGATACTCCGAGCGAATTATGGTGGTCTCCGGAGAGCGCTCTACAGGGGCAAGCACAAAAGACGAGGTCGCAGGCGGTCCAGCAATGGCGGTTTGGAGTAGAGGTAAGCGTGACGCTTCATGGGGATGGAACCAAGGATCGGGTTTGATGGGCGACGGCGCTTTTGCACTTTGCAGGACTTTTTCCACCAGGTTGTAAAAAACTTTTCATGTTACTATTATCGCTTTCAGCGACATATATATATACATATATATGTATATGGTAGCGCTTAGAAGTATTCGACGAAATGCTTCTTCAGTTGTAACTTCCAGTCATAACTCCTTTCCTACTGGATCTAAACAAACGAAACTTCAATACGTGAAGCATTGATGCAGTGTGAATATTTACCAGTATTAATCTGCAATCCGGTCATGTTCCAGATATCCAAAAGGGCTTGAACAAAAAGTTATCTGAAAATACGAATGGCGGTCCTTCAGGGAGTCCTTTCCTTTTTGCCATGACTTAAGTGTACGAGCATTAATGTCGAACCCAGAAGAGAAGAAAAACTTACATAAGGCCGGAATAACTGCAGACTTCACAAACGTGCTTTCAGCACAGTCTACAAACCCCTGCCCATTAACATGTGGACATTGCTGCTTTGCAGTCAAATAGTGTTGAGTAGTGTGAAACATGCTTCAGCCAAACATCAAAATTTCATGCGGTTTGCTCCACTGAGAAAGAAGTTACGGCAAGTTAATGTTGGCCGTATACTTTTGAGCGCTACTGTATATGAGAATTCAATTGTTAAGCAACCAAAGCCTTGGGCGGTATTCGAAAATGTTCGGGTGATTATAACACCATTATCGTATGCCGTTATCAATGAAGCTTTTCGTTTACGGAGACGTTATTAGTTGAGAGTTTCAGATTACAGCCGATCGGTTAAGTTATGTGGCAAATTATAACGAACAAAGAGGTTCCCTTATTGGATCAAAAACCTTGCCGGGTAGCGGTCGTAATCTAATAGCAAGAAATGAATAAAGTTCTGCTTATCGTAGTGCGGCTAATGGGTCCCTATCACTGCCCTTACCACTCACTTTTGTCACCCTACTCTACCATCTCGTCTTACTGAATGCAACATTCCAGAGAGTCAATGTTTGTGAATTTCAACGCCATTAAGATTTAATTGGTAAGTGGCTCCTGCTTTTTAGGACCACTTATCATTTCTTATCAGTTGTTATCACAGAGTACCTGCACTACGTACTGTCCTACATCGCCTATTAAACTGCCAACGTTCTACTGTTGACACGAAGGGGACTACAAACTTAGTGACTCTAGCCTTCTAAGCGCTTCATCAACCCTTGTCCACATGTTATCAGTCCTTGTCACCACCCTCGGTTCCTTTACATACCACACCGCTTGCTAAAGTGCTTCACTGTTAATATGAAAAACGTTGTAGTCCTAATGGTTCTCGCCTTCTATGGCTCGTTGTCATTCTCTAACAGTTGCTATCAATCCTTGTCACGGAACATCTACGGTCCCTTCTTATTCCATATCACATACTTAAGTGCCAAGGCTCCACCAGGTAATGGAGGTACACAGGTAAAGGGGGTACACGGTAATGGAGGTACTTACACGAAGGTAATGGATCCTGCAGCTCTCGCTTTCTAAGGCTCTTTATTCTAATTCACTTCTAATTGTTATCACCTCCTATCATACACTGTCAACGTTCCCATCCTGCCGCCTGCACTCCTACCAGATTTCAACGTCAAACACACATACCGACACTTACACACAAACACTGTGACAAACCAACAGACACACTTAACGAATTATACATTGTAGATTTATGTAGTGGCAGGACTTTAGGAATAAACAGTTTTTCCGGGATCTCTCTTCAGGAAATAACTTGATCATTCCCTAGCTTGCACCAGTTACTTCCTTTGTGCTCTCACTCTCTGAAAAATATGGCAATAATCTATAACCAAGACCGAAGAGTTTGCCGATTTTTAATTAATCGAACTAAGAAAAGAACCTATGTGATCAGTTTACTTAAACAGAATAGTCATAGCAACCTTCGAAAACCAATATAACTCGAAAACAACAAATGAGCAGAACTAGTACTTTGTTGTATTAGGTCGTGAAGAAAGTTCTTGCGTTTTTTGGCGCCCAATTTTCAAATGCTCGCCTCGGTGTTATTTGCTATTAGATTTTTAGCAAGTTTTAAGATATTCTAAAGCGCATTCCTTGCTCTATCCAAATATATAATCGATTTTGTCCTGGAGTGATTCCTGGGGTTTTTTAGAAGGTCGAAACCAGAATGGACAAACGACAGATCCGCACGATTTTTCTTTTTCAATTCAAATTGGGCAGGAGTGCGACGGAAACGGTCCGGGATATCAACGATGTCTTTGGTCCAGGTACGCCGAATCAGCGCACGGCGCAGTGGTGGTTTAAGAAATTTCGTACCGGCGATGAGAGCTTGGAAGATGATGAGCGCAGTGGGCGGCCATCGCCCGTTGACAACGAAGAATTGAGAACGTTAGTGGAAGAGAATCCACGTACAACGCTGAGGGATATTGGCTCGAGATTGAATGTTTCCAGCAGGACGGTTGGCACCCACATGCAGGAGATCGGGAAGTCGAAGAAGCTTGATAAGTGGGTGCCGCGTGGGTTGAATCAGTACGAGTAAGACCGCCGCTTCGAAGTCGCCTCCGCCTTGCTTCTCCGCAACAGGAACGATCCATTTATAGACCATATTGACGTGACGTGCATTGAGAAATGGATTCTGTCGATCAGGCCAGTGGCTGGACAAGGATCAAGCCCCACGACATTTCCCCAAGCCGAAGCAGCATGGAAAGAAGGCCATGGTGCTGGTTTGGTGGTCTGCAGTCGGGCTGATCCACCACAGCTTCATGGAACCGGGTGAAACCGTAACAGCCTAGAAGCACTGACAAGAAGTTGACGAAATGAATCGAAAACTCCTGCTTATGAGCCCGACAACGTGAGTTTGGTGAATAGGAAGGGGCCAATTCTAATCCACGACGACGCTCGGCCCCACGCGCACAACTCACCCTTAGAAAATTGTTGGAGCTAGGCTATGAAACTCTCCCGCATCCGCCATATTCCCCAAACCTTGCCCCCACAGACTACCATTTCTTTAAACATCTCGACGGCTTTCTCAATGAGAAATGCTTCAAAACTCAACATGATGCTGCCGTGGCATTCGATGATTTCATCGCCTCTGAATCTTCGGACTTCTATGCGAATGGGATAAACAAACTTGTCTCTCGTTGGCAAAAGTGTGTTGATAGTAATGGTTGTTATTTCGATTAACGAAGTTTTGTTTAAGTCGAGATATGTGCATTTGAAGTTTGAGGCGCAAAAACGCAAGAACTTTCTTCACGACCTAATAAACCCCAAAGCATCGATAACAACCTGACATCTTTGCGGCATTGAGTCTAACAGTGTTAAGGTAGGACTGAGCGATCGTTTTCCAGGCTTCTTCAAGCTGAGCAAATTCTTCAGCCAAATTCCTTGTTCTTTTGCCTTTCATGCGGCACTCCAGTTCGTTCCATGAATGTTCAATCGAGTTAAATTCCGGATACTGACTTGGCCACTCAAGAACTTTCACATAGTGCCTCTACGATCAGTCGCGAATGTGGCCGGATGCGTGCTCGGGGCTTGTTTGAAATGAATTCTTTGCCAACCGACTGGAGCACCCTCAAATCATCACGTTCCCTTCACCATGCTTCACAGTGCGCAGTTAAGAGGAAGGATAGGATCTTCTGCCAACTGGTCGTCTGATGTACTCGATCTCGTCACTTCCCATCAGGTTGAACTTGGACTCGTCAGAAAATAGAACGTTATTCCATTGCTGGCAAATCCAACCGATATGCTCCTGCGCCCATTTATATGAGCTTTACGATTCCTCCCCGAAATGAACGGTTCCTCGCAGGACGCCTTTCAGAAGGTCCGGCAGTCTCCGAATAGTTCTTGTTGGCGGGATCTGTTCACTGCCAACGGGTAATCCCTTTGGATGTCGGTGGAAGTGAGCCTGTGTTTACCACGACTCAATCGTAGTATGTTTCTGTAGGCAGCTCGTGAAGTCATCCAACTCCTTCCTGGCAGCGGCGCTGCTGCAATCATTCCGATTGCTATGATTTTCTTTAGGAGAGTGCAACCAGTTGATCCCAGCTGATCTAGCAACGTGAAAAGTCTTGCTAGTTTGGCTTGTTTCATTACTTGTTCGATCCCTCGTAGAACGGCATTGCAAACATCAGCTGACATGGTCTGTCCTCCACACGTCTTAGCCATATGCTGAATACAATACAATGCAGTATAACTGATAAACTGCGAAAGACGCAAACATTTGTACCGTGAACTAAAGGCCTGAGAAGCCAGAGGAGATGACTTTCATTTTTTTCACGAGTATTATTACCTGTAGAGAACGCTTTATGAATCCATTCGTAAGAAAAGGTTCTGAGGTGTAAACTACATACCTGTATCATGTCTGACAGCGATTCTGCGTGAAAAAATTCTCAGGAGAGCCTTTGTTCATAAATTCTAGCCACTACTCTATATGTTAAGAGGAAGGCTTGAGCTATTTTTCCGAAAGTTCCGGATTTCTCGTTCGGAACCGATGATCTGCCACGTGGCTGTTGTAAATAGTTTTGTTGAAGCGTCTCCACAATATATGTATAGCAAGGTTGCCTTCGCTAACTTCAATCACCATGCCAAATCCGCACGAGCACCTCCGAGCTTTTCGCCAATCAGCTCCAGAAGCTTGCAACCTGCAGCTGATAAATACGGAATAAAAGAGAGTCCGTTCATCTTCATCTACTTCACAACAATGCTAGGCCCCATGTAGTTGAAAAGACACGTGAAAAATTGAAGGAGCTAGGCTGAAATACTGTTCTCCACCCTCCATATTACCCTCCCACTGCACCACCTGAATTTCACTTATTTTCCCTTCAAAGTCCTCTCAGCTAAGAAGAAGTTCACCAATTACAAAGATGTTGAAAGAAGGTCAGCTGTTTCATTGACCCTCAGTCCCTCCAGTTCTCAAAGAAGGGTATAGCTGACTTGCCCAGTAGGTAGGAAACTGTTGTGACTTACAACGATGATCGCGTTGTTGAGTAAATTCTGTGTGGTAAATGAAAAGTAAAACCAAAAAATGTCGATTAGCTCAAACCCTGTGTTCAGGGTGATCTATGTACAGTGCGTCTACAAATGATACAGCCACCTCTGATTTCCCCGAAACTCACAGTATACTATGTTTTTAAAAGAGCTAAAAACCGTCAAAAAAAGTCAAAAATGTGTCGAATCTGAATTGCAATTCACACATTATCACCAAATTCCAGCTCGGAAACACAAACATTTTTTTGGTCAGTTTTGCAGTAGAGAGTGCTATTCCAACGCCTCCAAATGATACAGCCACTAACAAAATTAATTTATTCAACAACAAAGATACAACAAGAAGAGAAAGTTGCAAAGTGAATAATCAGTTATCCACCATTCCATCGAATTACTTCGAAGATACGGTGGTCTAGGTTCAAATAAAAACTATCGATCAGCTCCTGGTCAACTTGGTGCCATGCTTCGATGATGACGTTGCAGAATTGCTTGTTTTGGGCGTGAATCTTCCGCACCATGAAGCCCCATACATTTTCCATCGAATTCAAATCGGGGCTGTTCGCTGGTCAGGACAGATGATCCGAGAAAACCAAGCTAGGATGCTCCTACTGACGTGGATTGGAGCGTTATCTTGCATAAAAACAAGATTTCGGTGCCGATTCTGACGCCAGAAAGGGAGAAGTGCACGGCGCATAACAATTCAATAAAAGGACGAGTTCTTCTTCCCTGGTAAAAAGATACGCCTACTGGATGGATCGCAGCCCAAAACATGACTCCTCCTCCCTTGAATTTCTGCCCGGAACTGAAGTTTTTCCTTCCTCAGGTCGTGGCAGTAAAATCGGTTCTCATTCTCATTCAAGTAGAAGAACACGGGAAAAAGCGACCCGATTTTTCCGATGTCATTTTGACGTAAAGGGGGCCTTACGCATTTTCCGCTTGTCGATGAGTTTGGAATTTCTGATCACCTTCCAAACTGTGTTTTTTGAGAAATTGTGGTTCAAAGACGATCGGATTTCCATACAGGACTTGGTGGAAATCGACGTCTCCCTCAAAATACTGTACTTGTCTCTGCCGGGCTGCAGCGAAGGACGTCCTGCATTTCTTCTGGTTTTATAGGCTCCAGGATTCTTGATGACATTATTCATAACTGCGTGATATCGGCTCAAATCTCGCGCGATTCTGCGACTCGACAGTCCCTGTTCTTTCTTCGCGAGAATTCGACCTTCTCGACTTCCGAAAGCAATTTTCCTCTTCCCATTGCCTGAAAATGAAGAACATTACAGAAACAGAGCAATTTGTTGTGCTGAACTAAAACACGACACGAAGACATGAAGTGGCTGTATCATTCAGAGACGTTGTAAAAGCACCCTTTACTGAAAAATTGACCAAAAAATGTTAGTGTTTCCGAGTTGGAATCTCGTGATAACGTGCGAATTGCAACTCAATCTTGGCATATTTTTTACTTCGGCACTTTTTAAGAAACAACGTATATTGTGAGATTTTAGGGAAATCAGAGGTGACTGTATCATCTGGAGACGCACTGTACATGAAGTGTAACACGAAAAAAAAACTGTCAAAAAATTATACAAACCAAACCAAAAACGAAACATCTAATTTTAGTCGAACGTTAGAGAAATCGGAAACAGCATATACCATATCATATTCAAAATGTCCGTGTTTTGTTGAATGCGAGCATCCAACCTCTCCCGAAAGTTTTGGGCATGCACGCCACCAATTCCAGCGAATTTATGTCCCATGGTCTCACAACTTTTTCAGACAGCTCAAAGACCTGCATTCGGAAACGCAAGCATTTTGCTCCATTATCGACAGTAAAGCAAAATTTAAAGGAATGAGACTGGGGAGTTGGAAAGGTACCAAAACATCGGAGCTTGGCTTCTCACCATTTCAGTGTCTTCTCCGCGTTGTGGGCTGATGACTAATTTTGCTGGAAGATTCAGTTAACGTTCTTCGCGTTTTTCTTGGTCAATGAGATCATCGCGGTCCAAAATCTGCTTCCGGTAGATTTCGGCATCTATTTTCACTCCTTTTTCTCTAAAGGCGAGCAAGGCCCGATGTTCCAGCTCACACCAAAACCGAGTATGAATAATTAGATTTTCGACCGTCACACTTGATGTGGGTACCCTTTATATGTAAACATTTCGGCGACAATATTAGATAGGAAAGTCAGCATAGATTCTAACTAGCACAAAGAATATAAAGGAGTTGCAATAAAATGAGCATTTGTTTACAGGAAATGATCCACTTTCAGCCGCGTGCATGCCTGCGCTACAGCGGCACGAGCAATAAAAGAGTCAGCAACAGTTGGAGAGTAGTAAAATGTGGGATCACAGATATGTAGGTAATGTAGAACACAGAATCACAGAAACCATCACAAATAGTACGTTAGTACGACCCCACAGTGACTGTGCAGTCGTGAAAACGTGAGCAGCGAAAACGATCAAAGCACCACTAGCATTGGGCACGTAGCGATCATAAGAAATATAGAATCGTGGTAATACGGAATGGATGCCGAGAAAACAGATCTATAACAGCTCATTGATACAGACTTCACACAAGTGAAGGATAGGAATGGACGCTCTCGGGGCATAAGATCGCAACTAATTAGCCCCATGCTTTTTTCATAATTAGAATGCTTGCCTTTTTTACTTTCATACTGAAGCCTATATTCACCGATACAAGGCAATAGGGTATCTTACGACCTATGCTATTGTAGGATTAGTGTGCTGATCCGAATTCCTTACTAATCCTTGGATACTTGGTTGGTGTGGCCCAGTGGCCATTTGTGGGGGGGGGGGGGGGGGGGGGGGGGGGGGGGNGGGGGAAGGGTGAGTGTTCTCGAATGCTGACCTCAAATCTGCTACAATATGGAAGTAAGGTTACAAACCTTTTTCCCTGTGTACACTACTGTGCCGAACAGATAAGCGAACCGAGCAGTTGCTACGCTGCGCAACGTTGGCGCAGTACGCTGCGCAATATTGGCGCAGTTGGTAGGGCGGTGGATTTGTAAGCATGAAATGGAGGTTCGAGCCCTTGATGCGTGCACTCATTTCTTCCTCAAGAAATGTCTCACAAAAGCTCACAAAACAATGTTACACTTAATGTTCACTAGCTATGGAGCTTCCCCGCATTCGAGAAAATTTGGAAAGTATTTCAAGAAAAATTCTCATGATTTTCAACGGCCGAATAGGGATGCAGCCCAATTCTGCATGGAAGTTTGCGAACGCTTGGCTTAAAACGGGTTTCGCAAGCTTGATGGAAAAAGGTCTGATATCGTTCACTGGATATCACTAGCAAAATGTTCTGCTCGAAGGTGTCACCGTATCTGATAAATCAGGGGAACGGAAGGTAATCAAGAGATTCACGATTATATCGAGTGCGAGGAAGACGGGTCCGCGAGAGAGATCACGACATCCGCTTCTGGTCACCTGATGATAACAAAGACGACAGGCACATCATATTCTGAGAGGATATCCTCTTTCTCAAGGATATGGAGCCTTGAAAGAGAATTGTTCCCTCCGACATTGTGATTTCACCCACGCGCTACAGTTTTATGGGGCAGGTAATGAAGTCCACAGCCTTCTACAGTGGAGCTCGAGTGCATAGTTCACTGGGCACGAAAGAAGTTAACCTTACTAAAGGTAGACAGTACTAAAGGCGTAAAATTGCTTCGTAAGGTATGGAAGGTATTTCGCGAAAAAGCAGCACATGCATCAAGGGTTCGAACACCACGAACAACACGCAGTTGGTAGGGCGTTCACAAATTCACCGCCCTACCAACTGCGCCACCGTTGTACAGCAACAAGTGCTCCGTTCGTTTATCTGTTCGACATAGTACTATAACAAAGGGGAAAATGGTTACGTAATATTGTTTTCCAAATCGTTTGCAGATTTGGAACGTGGAATGTGTACCAGCATTTGATCAATGCGACAAGTATCCTTCCCTTGCGAGACTAGATGAAAGATCAGTAGAGGTACCCTTGTTTCGACGAACCCGGGGGTCGCGAGAACAGTACATCTCGAAAGTTAGTGATACATTCTACAAATTCAATTTTTTAAACACCATGCCCCAATATTAGTAGCGGACACCACGAATTCTCCCTAATCATGAGCCAAGTGAGTGGTGGCATGATTGACAGCTTTGTAGGGCTAGCATGCAATTG